GCTCCAAAACCTGGTGGTCCCTGGTCAAGACAGACAAGGTTATCTGCCTGATGAACTTATTCCACCTCTAAATCGACAGGATGGGACCACCTCTACTAGTAGTCAAGAGAAGGCGGACCTCTTTGCTGAACACTTTGCTACCAAAATGCAAGTTCCTGATCCAGCAAGGGACCCTCCTTGGCTAGCTGCAAGAACGGTGTCAAAACTGTCAGTGGTGACAATAAGGCAGGAGGAGGTGCATTTCCTTCTTAAATCACTTGACCAAGAAAAGGCTGTGGGCCAGACAAGTTGAGCCCAAGATTGTTGAGAAGATGTGCAGACCAGCTAGCAGCACCTCTAACTCGCATTTTTCAGCACTGCCTAGTACAGTGTAAATGGCCCTCTCCATGGAAAGAGGCAAATGTAGTCCCTGTTCACAAAAAGAAGAGCAGAGCAGAAATCAGCAACTACAGACCAGTGTCACTCCTGTCAATCACTGGTAAGATCCTTGAGACAAAATTTTCTCAAGACAAATGACAGATTTTTTTGACTACCACTCACTACTTTGTGATGGTCAATATGGCTTCAGGAAAGGTTACTCTGCTGCTGGTCTGTTGTTAAACCTCTCCACTAAGTGGCACCAGTCACGGATGAATCCAAAGTCAGCTGTTTTGGTAGCACTGGACATTGCTGGCGCTTTCGACCGGGTGTGGCACCAGGGCCTCTTAGCAAAACTTCAAGCACTGGGAATTGCAGGCTCTACGCTATGTCTCCTCAGTGATTACCTTCATGGTAGATCTCTAAGTGTAGTCCTCAATGGAACGGAATCAGCAAGGCATCCTATTGGGGCAAGCGTTCCACAAGGAAGCGTGCTGGGTCCACTGTTATGGAATGTCTACTTCAACGACCTTCTTCATCTCATCCCAGAATCACATGCATATGCAGACGACTGTACACTGACATTCACTTATCCAAGAGAAGAAATGCCAGCTGCTCTAAGCTACATCAATCACCAGCTGAGAGCTATATCAGCTTGGGGAAATAGATGGCAAGTAACATTTGCACCTGAGAAACGCAAATGATGATCGTCTCTAGGCACCATGATGGTAATGCTGGTGCAATAGTAAGGGTGAATGGGAGGGTGTTGGCACCTGGAGAAGAAGTTGATATCTTGGGTGAAATTTGACTCCAAACTAACCATGAAGAACCATGTTGTAAATCTTGCAAACAAGGCAGCCAGGAAGCTTACAGCACTTCGCCGTATCTCGCATCTGCTTGACAGTAGGGGTTGCAAGATTCTGTACGAGGCACAAGTACGCTCACACCTTGAGTATGCTCCACTTTCTTGGTTTGCCTGCCCTCCCTCTCATCTGCGACTGCTTGACAGAGTAGAGAACAGAGCAAGACGTCTCATCTCTCGCCTGGACCCATCCTGGATAGATCTGTCATTTCAGCAGAGCCTTCAACATAGGAGAGATGTGGGTGGCCTTACTGTTATGTATAAGGCCAATATTGTCAAAGTACCACACTTGGATCCACTTCGAGGACAGCATGAAACAAGCTTTTATGCCACAAGACGGGCAGAAAGCAGCAACTTCACTCTGGCTGTACCCTTCTCTAGAACATCACTTCATCTGAGATCATATATACCCAGGATGACTCGAGTATGGAACACATTCGTACAGCATAATGATGTCAACGAGATAAAGTCAGTTGATCAAATGAAAAGGCTGGCCCACAGATGGCTCCAACTGCATCCTGTTCCCTACTTGTATGTCTCATAACAATAAAAATGCTTTCAAATGAGCTGATGTAGGTAACAGCTCTTAGCTTGCCAATAAAGTTAGGAATCCTTAACCTGTAAATAGCTTGTCAATAAAGCTAGGGATCCTTAACCTTGTCAAACCCTGTGTAAAAAAAAAAGATAGAGAGAGATATATATATATATATAGAGATATATAGAGAGAGATATATATATAGAGAGATATATATAGAGAGATATATAGAGAGAGATATATAGAGAGAGATATATAGAGAGAGATATAGAATAATAGATATATAGAGAGAGATATAGAGAGATATATAGAGAGAGATATAGAAAAGAGATATAGAGAGAGATATAGAGAGAAGATATAGAGATAATATATAGAGAAAATTATAGATATATATAGAGATATATATAGAGAGAGATATATAGAGATATATAGAGAGAGATATAGAGAGATATAGAGAGATATAGAGAGATATAGAGAGAGAGATATAGAGAGATATAGAGAGAGATATAGAGAGAGAGATATAGAGAGAGAGATATAGAGAGAGAGAGATATATGAGAGAGAGATATAGAGAGAGATATTATATAGAGAGAGAGATTTTTAGAGAGAGAGATATAGAGAGATATATAGAGAGATATATATAGAGAGAGAGATAGAGAGAGAGAGATATAGAGAGAGATATAGAGAGAGAGATATAGAGAGAGAGATATAGAGAGAGAGAGATATAGAGAGAGAGATATAGAGAGAGAGATATAGAGAGAGAGAGTATAGAGAGAGATATAGAGAGAGAGATATAGAGAGATATATATAGAGAGAGAGATATATAGAGAGAGAGATATATATAGAGAGAGAGATATATAGAGAGAGAGATATATAGAGAGAGAGATATATAGAGAGAGATATATAGAGAGAGAGATATATATAGAGAGAGATATATATAGAGATATAGAGAGAGATATAGAGAGAGAGAGATATAGAGAGAGAGAGATATATAGAGAGAGAGATATATAGAGAGAGAGATATATAGAGAGAGATATAGAGAGAGATATAGAGAGATATAGAGAGAGAGTTATAGAGAGAGATATAGAGAGAGAGATAGAGAGAGGGGATATAAAAGGGGAGAGATAAAATTAAGAGAGAGATATAGAGAGAGATATAGAGAGGGGATATAGAGAGAGATATATATAGAGAGAGATATAGAGATATATATTATATATATTTATATATATATATATTTATTTATATTATTATATAAAATATTTAATATATATATATTATATAATATATTATATATATATATTATATATATATTATATATATATTTTATATATATATTATATTATTTATTATTTTATATACGAAAAATCCATACTTATGCAGTACATAGTACCATAGTGCAACAAATTTTCCCCCCCCCCCCCCTTCCTTCCCGTTTCTCTATCTACCATGTAATATAAATTATTGGACTGACCCGCTGTGATGGAGATATCGTCATAAAAATCCTATAGGTGAACAGCGAGAACATGGTAATTCTCAATAGGAACCACAGCTTTGCCGGAACAAAACCTATATGGAGCTGTTAAACCTTTAACATTAATAGAATAAATGACGATAACCTCATTGTTTTAATTGTCCCCCATTTCAGCCCGATACATATCAACACTATGTATATGACCCATCACGTATCAAGTATGACAGGGAAACAGCTAATTTCTGTTCCCACTACATAACGACCGTATAGGACGAGATAGCAGCACACTACAACACACAAATACAAAGACCCAATTCCCCCCCTTCCCCAGTATAACAATCTTTATTTCTACAAGTACAAGGTATACAGACCTAGCTGACAATCAAATCAAATCAAGTTTATTCTCTACAAGGATTACAATGCTGAGTTTACAGAATTTGGATATTGTGTGGTTTACATGTTTTAAAATACTAATTAAAGAGGGGGCCACTAGAACACCTAGCATGGCTAGGCATTTCGGGCAGACTTAGATTAATTCTTAAATTTAAAATATTACAAATTATGAGGTAAGTTGGTATTATGGCTAAGTGACTAAATACTACTTTGTGAGTTTAGCAATGTGAATGCTTTTGTTTTCGCACAATACATAGTTTCAGTATTGGAGTATCACAGGCCAACTTATGACTAGTTAGGATTCATTATTTTAAAATTAAGATTGATATTTCTGTGTTTATGGTCAAATGAGTTAGTGAGTGTATACTATATAAAAAGCCCCTTGTTATGCAGAGTATTTCGTGCAAATTAGGTCAATTTTGTCCCCAGGATGCGACCTACACTAGTCGACTAACACTCAGTTACCCATTTTACTGATAGGTGAACATGGACAGCAGGTGTCTTACGGAAACACGTCCCCGTACCGGGGATCGAACCCCTAACCTCTGTGCGAGCCGAGTGAGGTACTAATTGAGCTACGGGACAACCCTCATCGTTATCTATCATTATTACACTAGGACAGCAGTCAAGACGGTGGTTTGCTGCCTGACAAGCTTCATCAAAGGAAATATAAGAGATAATGGTGCCATGGTGGTAGTGTGATCACACTACACACGACACACCCACGCCCCCCCCGCACCCACCACACCCCCCCCACACCCACGCTCCCCCACCCACCACACACCCACGCCCCCCCCACACCCACCACACACCCACGCCACCCCCCACACCCACGCCCCCCCCACACCCACCACACCCACGCCACCCCCCCACACACCCACGCCACCCCCCACACCCACCACACACCCACGCCACCTCCCCCCCACACACACATTGGAAGTTGAAGACTCCGATGAGTCAAAGGGATGTTAGGAAGTATTTCTTCAGTCATAGAGTTGTCAGGAAGTGGAATAGTCTGGTAAGTGATGTAGTGGAGGCGGGATCCATACATAGTTTTAAAATGAAGTTTGATAAAGCTCATGGAGCAGGGAGAGGACCTAGCAGCCATCAGTGAAGAGGCGGGGCCAGGAGCTATGAATCGACCCCTGCAACCACAAATAGGCGAGTGCACACACACACACACAAACACATACATACATATATACATATACATACATATACACATACACAAATACACACATACACAAATACATACACACAAATACATACACATACATATATATACACACACATACATATATACACACATACATATATACACACATATACATACATACATACACATACACACATGGCCCTCCACACACACACTTAACCAACTTACATTGTGTGGTAGTGTGACCCTCGACCACGCCCTCACTAGACGCACGGAAGTCACTACACTTCACTCACGATATGTAGTATCCAGTGAAAGTATTATTAGTGCAGGAGTGACAATAGATATGTTGAGTGTAGTGTTGTGTGTAATGTTGAGTGTAGTGAACAACGTTGACAAGTGAGCTGCTTCACACCCTCCCCCCCCACACCACCACACTAACACTGCCACACAACACCAACCTCAACACTACTGCTCATTTATCCCACACACTCTGCTCAGTCGCATATCTTATTATCTATCTCTGTTGAATAGTGTTTTATAAATTTACTTACCAGATAAGCATTAGTGCCTTTATTTGTTTGCTATCCTTGATGTAAATTTATTTGCTTTTAAAAGTTATCACTTGGCAAAATGTTGTGTGGTGACGTCACCTCGTACGAGCAGTGAACGTTGCAATGCTCACAATAAATCATTTATTTATCAAGAACCAATGTGTCTCAGCACCATTTTACAAATTCTATCCTTAGCCATTAAAATGAAATCATCTCCCTGTGATTGACTTATGACAAATGACAGCGATATATAATACGAATTACAAATGAAAGGTGGAACCTGCGTGATCTAGGCAGCGTGCCATCACGCCGCCGCCTCCACCAATTACATTTCCTCAATTCTGATTATGTTTCTCTCATTGGTTGATATTATCAAATACTACAATACCGGCGAGATTTTCAAAATCAAGTAAGGCGGTACAGGAGCAAAATAACGTAAACATATTTGCTTTTTTAGCCTTGTTTTTTGGACTTGTCTTGCAATGATTCCAGTTTTAAAAAAAATTTTAAATAACCAAACTAACAATATTTAACATTAACTAAACAAAATATTACCAATACTGAAGAGGTAATAAGCCAGGAAAGCCAATCATTAATTAATATCACCACAGTTCCCGAGGAATGGAAGGCAGTCAAGTTCGGCCCAAGGATTGGGAGCCACGAGCCACAGCCCGGCTGATCAGGAACCGACTTTAGGTGCTTGTCCAGTGCCAGCTTGAAGACTGCCAGGGGTCTGTTGGTAATCCCCCTTATGTATGCTGGGAGGCAGTCGAACAGTCTCGGGCCCCTGACACTTATTGTATGGTCTCTTAACGTGCTAGTGACACCCCTGCTTTTCATTGGGGGGATGTTGCATCGTCTGCCAAGTCTTTTGCTTTCGTAGTGAGTGATTTTCGTGTGCAAGTTCGGTACTAGTCCCTCTAGGATTTTCCAGGTGTATATAATCATGTATCTCTCCTGCCTGCGTTCCAGGGAATACAGGTTTAGGAACCTCAAGCACTCCCAGTAATTGAGGTGTTTTATCTCCGTTATGCGCGCCGTGAAGGTTCTCTGTACATTTTCTAGGTCAGCAATTTCACCTGCCTTGAAAGGTGCTGTTAGTGTGCAGCAATATTCCAGCCTAGATAGAACAAGTGACCTGAAGAGTGTCATCATGGGCTTGGCCTCCCTAGTTTTGAAGGTTCTCATTATCCATCTTGTCATTTTTCTAGCAGATGCGATTGATACAATGTTATGGTCCTTGAAGGTGAGATCCTCCGACATGATCACTCCCAGGTCTTTGACGTTGGTGTTTCACTCTATTTTGTGGCCAGAATTTGTTTTGTACTCTGATGAAGATTTAATTTCCTCGTGTTTACCATATCTGAGTAATTGAAATTTCTCATCGTTGAACTTCATATTGTTTTCTGCAGCCCACTGAAAGATTTGGTTGATGTCCGCCTGGAGCCTTGCAGTGTCTGCAATGTTAGACACTATCATGCAGATTCGGGTGTCATCTGCAAAGGAAGACACGGTGCTGTGGCTGACATCCTTGTCTATGTCGGATATGAGGATGAGGAACAAGATGGGAGCGAGTACTGTGCCTTGTGGAACAGAGCTTTTCACCGATTATTTGTGTATTGTGTTTTATCTATCAAACACCACAAGTGGAAATATTGCTACCTCTTCAACTAGCTGCTAGTTACATTCAACTAGTAGTAAGTAGGTTCCTGGTTAAGTACAACTAGTAGTCAGTAGGTTCCTGGTTAAGTTCAACTAGCAGCCAGTAGGTTCCTGGTTGTTAAGTTCAACTAGCAGTAAGTAGGCTCCTAGTTAAGTTCAACTAGCAGTATGTACCTGGTTGTTAAGTTTAACTAGCAGTAAGTAGGTTCCTGGTTAAGTTCAACTAGCAGTAAGTAGGTTCCTGTAAATGAATGGTTCAGAGAACTGACATGTTCTTGAGATCTTAATACTTGGGAATTCTTCACATCCCTAACCCTTGGGCACGACCTACTTCCACACGGACAAATGTGACACCACCTACGACTGCTGCACCTCTCCTACCTATGGTATATAAGCTACTTCTCCGTTCATTTGCTGTATTCTATTCAAGATTGATGGACTGACCACATCGACTCAAGGTTGAGGGACTGATTACCTCATTCTCCTCCTGTTCTTCACGACTCTCCTTTGTATTGGACTGATGAAGCCACTGTGTGGCGAAACGTTACCTCAATACAGATACCCAAGAGTTGCACATGTGTCTAATTTATCAAGTAGGTTCCTGGTTGTTAAGTTTAACTAGCAGTGAGTAGGTATCTTCATGTTAAATTCAACTAGCAGTAAGTAGGTTCCTGGTTGTAAAGTTCAAGTAGCAGTAAGTAGGTACCTTGGGGTTAAGTTCAACTAGCAGTAAGTAGGTTCCTGGTTGTTAATATTAACTTACAGTTAATAGGTTCCTGGTTAAGTTCAACTAGCAGTAGGTAGGTTCCTGGTTAAATTGAACTAGCAGTAAGTAGGTACCTCATTAAATTTAGCAGTAAGTAGGTTTCTGGTTAAGTTCAACTAGCAGTAAGTAGGTACCTGGTTAAGTTCAACTAGCAGTAAGTAGGTATGTGGGTGTTAAGGTTAACTAAAGTAAGGGTTCCTGGTTAAGTTCAGCTAGCAGTAAATAGGTACCTGGTTAAGTTCATCTAGCAGTAAGTAGGTATGTGGGTGTTAAGTTTAACTAAAGTAAGGGTTCCTGGCTAAGTTCAGCTAGCAGTAAATACCTCATTGCATCTTGACTTTATTGGGTTATCCTGGATTAATACTCTGATCAAAATTATCTTTTTTTTTTTTTTAAGACACTATTTTTAAGATGTTCTCCCATTTGTTCAGCCTCCAGCTCTCAGACAATGCATGGTTTGGCAGATGAATCAACTTGTCAGCTCTAGGAATACGTTGTGATGACTGATGATCTAGCGATTTGCCATTCTTACGGGTTACTGCTAGACATACTTTGCCGAATAGAAGCAGGTTATACCATGTATAATTTGTTGGTAGATTTGCCAACAATACGTTAGGTAAAAGGACACAAGTGCAACTAATACTACTTTTTATTGTGGAAAGTTCGCTCTCCAGGAGTTTTGTCAAGTCTTTAAACCTGCTTGACAAAACTTTTGGGAGAGCGAAACTTTGCCACAAGGAAATGTTGCATTAGTTGCGCTTGTGTCTTTTTTCCTAACAAGTTTATACCATGCCCTAATATGAAGCCCCTTTGGGGCTTTAAAAGCTGCTGTAACCCTCCATTTACAAGGTATTTATTTTAAAACATCCTACAGGCACATGTGTTAGATGAGTAGAGGTGAATGGTCTATAGGATTTGAGGTAGCTTTTCAGGGTAGTAAGATTATTACATTCATTCAAGGAGAGGGCCAAACCAATAGCAGTCGTATAGCACCTGGGAAAATGCAAGGCATTCAGGTTTGATTCACAGGAGAGGTCTGGTCCAGTTTTTTGGGGAAAACTTGTAGAAACTGGCTGGATGAGCATGAATTTAGGTGACTGGGAATCCAGTGCTTGAACTCAAAATATCGGGTAAAGAGGTAACTCAAATAGAGTCTGTGACTCAAGGTTATGACCAGTGTCTATGATTTGAGGGTTAAGACCATGTCTGTGACTCAAGGTTAACACGACGAGTGTCCGTGACTCGAGGGCTAACACGACAAGTGTCTGTGACTCGAGGGTTAAGATGACCAGTGTCCGTGACTCGAGGGTTAACACAACCAGTGTCTGTGACTCCAAGGGGTTAACACGACCAGTGTCAGACTCATAGTCAACACGGACCAGTGTCTGTGTATTTCTGGGCACACCTGATGAATCCCTTTCCCTTTTCATCACCTGCCTTGGGCAATGGCAGTTAAGAGTTTTTTCACCAGCATTAAGACACCTTCCTTTAAGGGTCACATTTTTTCTTGAAATACAAAAAAATTGCTTCAAATGGCATTTTTGTAACAAATTAGACTCCCTCATTTATATTTTAGGCCAACATAAAAACAATTAGAGCATTAATTAACACTCTAATGTCAATTAGCAATGCCCTTCGTATCATAACATACAGGATTTTTAAAGGTTAAAAATATAAGATTTAACTTGTATTTTTAATGTATAAAGGACCTATAAAAATATGCAATTTTCACATGTAAGTACAGTAGACAAGAACGGGGAAGGACTACAACAGCCCACTGAATTTGGGCAAGTTTCACACTTTACAAAATTCACTAACGCATAAAACCCTTGAAACCATAAAGATTTAGCCCCTGGTCACTATTTTATTTTATAACTTTAAGATGCACAACTAACATTTGAAGATATTCTGCTCATTACAGAAAATCTTAAAAGAAAAAATCTAACTGAAGAAAGACATTATGGAATCTTTGGTTTGGAAGTGTTGCAGAATCACACAGGGCAAGACAGACAGTACAATATCAAGTCTAGCATGGTTGCTCATAGCTAGATAACACTAAAATGACTTAGTTTTGTGAATTAAATAATTTGTAGGAATGTTGGGGGCCCCTCTGTGGATTATGAATACACTATTTTAGGAGTGTTAAGCAGCAACTTGCGGGCAGAAGAAAACAAGACATACTGACACTTGGGACAGCATCTTGAGCTAGGTAATGAGCACCTTAAACCTAAGTTCTGGCCTTAAAATTGAGGATCAACTTACTTCAGCTTCTAATGATAAAAAACAAAGAGATGCTATTGCAGGTTGTTTCATAGATTACATATGTAATCTATGAAATTTTCTTAGGAGTGAAGGTCATTCCCCTTTGCTAGGAATGGGTAATTATTGCTATATTTGAAGAAAAAACTAGTTACCCCAGGGAAAGGGCTAAAGGAAATGTCACCAAAA